TTACATCTTTGCCCTGCTTAAGTCAACATTGTCCAAATCGCTGCCGTAATCCTTTGTTGTTTAAAATCCCGCCAAGAGCCCGCACATGAGGCGTTAGCACAACAACCCAGACCTCCACAGTCCAACAGTCGATCACACCTGCAACCCCACTACCCCCTGTCAAAAACGGCGGTTGAGCCACCATACCCCGAGGCCACGGCGGTACGCGCACATGCCAGTACGGGGATGTGCATGCAGTGAAAATTTCTCGCCCCTATGTTGCTCCTCCTCTTAGACAATCCTCTTCACTCACTTCATCCCTGTACGAAACCCTCTCGCTTCTCTTCCTGCTATCCATCTCATCTCTCACCTTTATTCTTGTCCTTGTCTCCTCTCAATAAAATGTTTTATCAATTTCATTGGAGCCACTTCTTTCCGCTGCGCAAAACCCCGTATCGATCATTGCTTTTGTATCGACTATCCTTGCCAATTTCAACAAATTCCAACCCTCCCCACGAATCCATGACCAAGTAATACCCCATGCCTCCAGGTTTCTATTATGGTCGATTTCGGGGAACATGGGAATGCGCTCGGCCATGGAGCAATGAAAGATTCGCATCCCATACGCTCTGCGGTAAAGGAGCATTGCATCGTCTGGTTAGTATAACGGTGGATGACTGCGTGATAATCCCTCTGTCCGGTACATCTGTTGGCTCCGGTAGCCGTGCAACACCCCCTGTACTATATTCAGTCACCGATCCCCACTCTCATAGCGAACGTACGCAGCGGTTCTTCGTAAGGAGGAAAGCACTTGTGTGGAGGAGAGAGTGGATGTGTTCGATAGGTGGTCCATGACCGATTTGTTCCTGCTTAAATACTGGAAGAGAAAACTCCCACACATCAGGGTAAACCCACATAACAGGAAATGACAGACAACCATGATCATGACCGTTCTGGCTAACCATCAACACACCTTCCAACTACCTACTGGGATTATATATCCATCGCACTCTCCGACAAGCGCACTCACAGCGCATTTGGTCCTCATTATTCACCCATGGCATGGTTTTCTCCTCTGAAACAGGTCATTTTACCATCGGCACTTAGAATGCGCTGAGTATAAACATACACTGTCGAAAATATTCAGAAAGTCCCCAATCATGCCAAGATCATGTTTGAACCCCCCTCCAAAAACATCCCCGTTCCACCAACCCAACGAAGCTTTCCCCTCCAAGAAACCTCCAAACACTACCTGAGTATGGACGCCTGTAGCGACATGGGAGGAAAGCAGCGAGGCGGAAGGTGACCGAGATACTCATTAGCGAAGTGATGTTTCCAATCAAAACCTTGATGTAACAATCGCTCCAGACGCACAACCCCGAAGCCCCGGCCACCCAAAAAAAACCGCCGCTAATCCCCTGTTGGAATTCGTAGACGCTGCTCGCCATACGCTGTTTTCTTGGCTCGGATAATGATTTCGGAGATGCGCTCTCGATTAACACATTCATGTGAGGAAATTATGTATCCTCCAGAAGGAGGTCGTGTACCCGTCGGAAGCAGTACGGGAGTGCCAAAGAGACTTAGTGGAGCAGAGGTTACGAACAGCAGGAATCTTTGTGAATCCTGGCTTTTCTTTTGTTAGCATGGGAATATCTAGAGGGAAGGGTTACTTGCCTGGATAAGAGCGGATATATGTAAGGATTGATGAATAGATTGAGTGGTGCATATACCGTAATTCATATGGTTAGATTATGATAGAGCAGATTATGAGGGTTCTGCTCGATCATGGTCCGATCGAAAGGACCCCACGATCGAAACAATGGATAAAATTGCTAGACCCTGATCGAGTGATCGAGTATGGTCACCCGTGGTCCATTGCTGAGCGAATTCAATCTCAATTTCTGTAAGTATATCACTACCAAGACGGTTTACTGACCTTACAGCATTTGTCTGAGAGGTAAGCCAACTACACACCTTTACCCATCGAGCAGTACATCTGGAAAGTGTGATACCGCCTACGCACCCTCTAGCCAAAGCCGAATGGTCGGCCAGAACATGACCACCGCAAACAAAACAATCAATAATTCACAACCATAGAAACACCGGGGACGAGACCGGATCGGCCAATGCAAAATTGAGATCGTAGATTGACGTTTTTATGAAAGGAGATGAAAGAAGGAGTAATACCTATCAACGGTCCTGTGGGCACGGGGATGGCGGACATGCCGTCATGGGGTGTCACTCATGTGGGGGGTTTGGGGGGGCGAAGGGCCATAGTCTCCACCAAACCCGAGCAACCGATCAAGAAAGGCCAGCGCTGAAGTATGAGCGAGTAATCGAGCATGGCCTCGGCCCGGGCATGATTAAGTATTGTTGGTTATCTTTGGTTGCGGTCTGCCACTATCCCCAAGTGCGACTCCTTTATAGGATGTCACATGACTATCATACTTAGACGTAAATACGCGAGGTGATCGATCGTGATCGAGCAGATCCGGGGGGGGGTCCTGTTCGACGGTGATCTGGTGGAGAGACTCCTATGGTCGAGGGTGGTTGGGGGGTTCCTACTGTCGCCATGGCCTGTTCGGACGGAACTTGGTCATGGTCTGATCATGGCCATCGCTAACCTCGAGGCGGAACTCAATCTATACGGTGACCATTGATCTGGCTGGCATCGCTATCCTGGCTCTCCTTGGTGTAAGTGACTATCCATGTGCTCATATTTGTTGAAGGTTCTAGATCGATGTTGATTGATTGAGATAGATTGTGGAGGTTTCGGGAGTCTGGCTGAGAGTTTAGAGATTCAATGGATTGGTGTGGAGGTTCAGAAATTGACAGGAGATTCTCTAGACATGCCTTTCCTTTGCTATCACGGGGATGTGTGGAGGGAAGGGTAGCATGCTTGGAGAGATACGGATAGGTGTGGTGATTCATTGAATGATGAGGATACATTGTTTATGTTTTACTTATACACCTGTCTTTACCGTTAGTTTAGATAAGAGACGAACGAACAAAAGTTGTTTTTCCTTACCTCACGCTCTTGTCCACGTCCTTCCACAGTTCCCACATGGTCCTTTAGTTTTTCTCTATCGCTGCGCGAGTCAATCGTTGACTGCTATACCCACCCATAATGTGGCGGACTTTCAATGCAGTTCGTACGGCCGTTGTTCCCCAACCGCCAGGCTTGCGCGCTCGCCGAGTACCAGAGGGAGTATCGGGCAGGATGTCATACGGCATATCTGGTCGGAATTTCCGATTTGCTTGTGAGGGGCCAAGAATCTCTACACAAGCGTTGAGTCCTGTGTTCGGCTCGGGAGTCTTGCACTGCTATGTGTCCGGTGATGGGTGAGTTCAGGCTGTTCCCGAGATTTACTTATATGCCGATGGCCCGGGAGAGAACGACCGGCTTGCTTTCTTGTGAGAAATTGTATTTTACTCCTCGGAACGTTTCGGCACTGCTGGGCGCCTGGTTTCCGAGGATATTTGATTTATGAGTGATGATTCCTGTCGAGTAATCGCCGTGTTGCAGCTTGCGGCTAACCTATTACCTCTATCGGGCAGAATTTTTCTTTCGGTTTTTTTTTTGCCTGCTTGTGTGGGTCTATCGCGCCGGAAGGGGTTCGCGTATTCTCACGTCGATTTAGAATGTAAGAATTGCGAGACTGTCTATGCGTGTGAACGTCTTCCGCAGGCACCACTGCACGCCGAGCAACGGTCCCGCAACCTCAAACCAAAAACACCGAAACCAAAAGATATTATATTCCAGTATCATACAAAAGAACGTTACATACCCATTCCATCAATCCCGTCATCATAATCCTAATATATCATACTCTTCTATAACCCCCAAACATCCCGCCAAACGGCAAGCCTAGCCACACCACCGCACCACTCTCTCCGATTCCCTGGGCATATAACCTCCATACACTCCCCACTTCCTCCCGCCTTTGTCGCGTTCCCCAATCTCTCCTGGGTCCCACACGAACACTCCTCCCCTTTGCTCACACCAGCCCATCCCCATCCACGAGCCTTACATTCTCCGACACACATCTCCAGCGTGAGTGACTCATTCGTGAAAGTAAATCCGGTCAGTAAGGTTCCGGGCGACGTGGGGTCGACGTAGCAGGCTGTGTAATTGTAAGTGTGGACCACGTGCGGGAGGACTGGCGGGATGTTAAGGGTGGAGTTGTAGATTGAGATGAGGTTTGAGGGGCATGTGGTAGTGGAGGTGGTGAGGGTGCTATTGTTTTGGAGAGCCGTGCCGCAGGAGCAGGTTGAAGGGGTGAGACCACTCAGTGTGTAATTACTTGATGTGCAAAAGTCCTGGCAGGTGGAGGGCGTTAGGGTTGTTGAGGAGGCGGTGATTGGCCCTGTTAGCGCCGGTGGGGAGGTGGAGTTTGCACAGCCGAGGTAGGTGTAACCGGTTGGTGTTGAGGTTGGTGGCGTAGAGGTAGTTGATGATGACTTGGAGGAGGAGGAGCCGCTGGAGGTTGTGCTTTCGCTTGTTAAAGTGGATGTCGCCGAAGAACTGCCACTGCCACTGCTACTACTCGATGAAGCCAAGACTGTCGAAGAATTGTTGCTAGTTGGAGAGCTGACGAGTCCCGCTACCCCCGCCCCGTTCACTGCCACCACAGCCCCACCGCTACCACCAAAGTAAATGCTTAATCTCCCAGACCCGCCGCAATACGCCCCCGCATCTCCTCCACAAACCATATTACATTGCGACACAGACACATTCTTCGCCGTTCCCGCTATCGTACTACCACAATAGCACTCTCTAGAGTATTCCACACCTGCATAGGAATACCCACCGGACTTGCAGAAGTTAACACACATGGTCACGTTCATGCTCGCCGAGGTAGTTGTGCTAGCGGCGAGGGCGCGTTCGTTCGTTCCTTCGCTATAGATAGTTAGCATCGATTATTTTATAAGGGTAGGGGTAAATTGTGCTTACGTCCAGCATCTATACGCATCACCAGTTAGCATTCGACGATATACATGGAAGAAGAAGAAAAAGAGACTTACCCAGTAAGGTTATATCCCGCAGCGGCAGGAATCATAATCGGTTGCTTGGGCGCTGTGATGGCGGTATTATTATACACCGAGAGCGCACCTGGACCACCACATATCACGTTGGGAGATCCTCCGCAGGGCATTGTGCAACTTGTCGAGCCACCGATGGTAGATCCATTCTCTAAAACGTTACCGCAATAGCATTCTGTTGAGTATTCAACACCCGAGAGGGGGTAGCCTTTCCCTGTGCAGTAGTCTTGACAGACGTTCGGTGTCATTGTTGAGCTTGATGTTGCGTCTTTGGAGAGTGCCCGGCCGTTTGTGCCTTCGTTTGCGCAGCCGAGGTAGGTGTACCCCGGACGTAAAGTTGGCGTGGCGGTGCTGCTGCTACTCATGCTGGTTGTGGAGGTACTATTGCCCAAGGTTGTGCTACTGCCGGTACTGCTTCCGGAGGTGGTGGAAGTACTACTCTTTGAGGTTGTGCTGGCAGATGTAGTTGTCCCGGACCCCGTGGAAGTGAGAGAGGTGGAGGTAACTGGGATAGAGGTTGAGCCGCTGCTGCTACTAGTCCCATTAACTTTCCCATAGATATTCAACCGACTTGGACCGCCGCAGTATGCGAACTTATCACCACCGCAGAGCATGTTACATTCTGATACCGGCGCTGTTTTTGCCGTTGTTCCGATGGCATTTCCGCAGTAACACTCGGTCGAATACTCTATTCCGGCATACTTGTAACCCCCGCCTTGACAGTAGCTAACGCAGGACTGGACAGTCATGTTCGCATTCGCCGTTCCAGGTCCTGCCAGAGCACGTTCATTGACGCCCTCCGTGTAGCATCCTTGGGACTTATAATCCCCGACAGCGGGTACAACGGTGGGTTGCTTTGGCGCTACTAGTGCAGTGTTATTGTATACCGACAACGCTCCCGGTCCACCGCAGGTCAAGTTCGAGGCACCACCACATGGCATGGTGCAAGCTGTCGAGCCCCCAATGGTAGATCCATTCTCCAAGACATTGCCGCAATAACACTCTGTGGAGTATTCAACGCCGGAGAGGGGATAACCTTTGCCTGTGCAGTAGTCTTGACACACGGTGGTAGTCATAGTAGAGCTTGCTGTTGAGTCTTTTGCGAGAGCTCGACCGTTGGTACCTTCATTCGCGCAGCCGAGGTAGGTGTATCCTGCGCGTAAAGTTGGCGTTGCGGTGCTGCTGGTGGAAGTGCTACTTTTTGAAGTTGTGCTGGAAGTGGTAGTTGTCCCGGACGCAACGGTGGTAGATGTAGACGTAGAAGTAGAAACGATAGAAGTCGAGCTGCTGGTGGTGGTAGTTCCGTTAACCTTCCCGTAGATGTTTAAGCGGCTCGGGCCACCGCAGTATGCGAGTTTATCACCGCCGCAGAGCATGTTACATTCCGATGCCGGAGCGGTTTTGGCCGTTGTCGCGATAACGCTGCCGCAGAAGCACTCTGTCGAGTATTCTATACCGGCATACTTGTACCCGCCAGATTGACAGAAGCCGACACAGGACTGGACGGTCATATTCACGCTCGCCGTTCCGGGTCCGGCGAGAGCACGTTCGTTGACGCCTTCTGTGTAGCATCCTTGGGATTTGTAATCCCCGACTGCCGGTACCACTGCGGGCTGCTTCGGCGCTACCAACGCGGTGTTGTTGTATACCGAAAGAGCGCCGGGGCCACCGCAGATTGAGCTTGGGGCACCACCGCATGGCATATTACAGGCGGTTGATCCACCTATTATAGATCCGTTCTCGAGGGCACCGCCGCAGTAGCATTCCGTTGAGTATTCAACACCGGAGAGGGAATAACCCTTGCTTGTGCAGTAGTCTTGGCACATAATTGTAGTCATAGTCGCGCTTGCTGTAGCATCTTTCGTGAGAGCTCTCCCGTTGATACCTTCATTCGCACATCCAAGGTACGTGTATCCGGGCCGCAGGGTTGGTGTGGAAGATGTGCTGGTGGAGGTAGTACTCGTAGTGGTTCCATTAATAGACGAAGTAATCGATGTAGAAGTAGTGGTACTGATAGGGGGAACACTACTGACAGTCCCGTTCAAGTTCCCGTAGACATTCAACCTACTCGGCCCACCGCAGTACGCGTACTTATCACCCCCGCAGAGCATATTACACTCCGATGCGGGGGCACTTTTGGCCGTTGTAGCGATCGTTGCACCGCAGTAACACTCGGTTGAGTATTCGATGCCTGCATACTTGAACCCCCCTGCAAGACAGTACGCCACGCAAGATTGCACTGTCATATCCGCCGTAGCCATTCCGGGTCCTGCTAGGGCACGCTCGTTTACACCCTCGGTGTAACATCCCAAGGACTGGTAATTACCTACGCTTGGCACAGTGGCTGGTTGCTTTGGGGGTACGAGCGCCGTGTTATTGTACACCGAGAGCGCTCCGGGTCCGCCACATGTCGTCGCGGCATTCCCACCGCAGGGCATGTTGCATGCTGTCGATCCGCCAATTGTAGACCCGTTTTCTAGGACGTTACCGCAGTAGCATTCTGTAGAGTACTCGAGACCTGAAAGTGGATAGCCTTTGTTCGTGCAGTATGCTGCGCAGAGGGTGATGGTCATGAGGGGATCTGCCATCGCGTCTTTCGCAAGGGCACGGCCGGTGGTGCCCTCATTTGCGCAGCCAAGGTAGGTCAGGTTCGCAGGGGCTGTTGAGGAGGCTGTTGCGCTTGTGCTGGTGGAAGTGATGGTAATGCTGGAGTTTCCGGTCGTAGTGGTGGATATTGGAGTTGAAGTTGACGAAGTCGAAGTGGAAGTTGTGGAGGTCGTGCTCGAACTAATGGTAGAGAAATTCCCAACCTTTCTCCGGTCTCCGAATAAACTCATGTACGCTCCATCACCGCCACAGTACTCTCTAAAGTCTCCTCTACAGAGGTACTGACAGAACTTATCCGGAACCTTTTCCAGGCCCCTTTTAGTCCCGCACCAACCTATCCATTCCACAGTTAGTTCTTGTCAGAGTGACACAACATGAAGATCACGGCTCACACTCTCCCTCATACTCCGTCGCAGCATAAGCGAACTGTCCCGCACTATTCATGCAATCAAATTGACACCTCCCATTCGTGTTGTTAGCACTGTAATATAGCAATTCCTCAAGATTCCTGTTGGGATTAGCGTCCTTAAAACATCCCAAATACCTATACCACCCTTGTCCATTCGGGTCCAAAGGCCCAACCTGGTTCGACGCGCCAGTGCACGTAAAGTCAACCTCGGTCTTTCCAAAGGCAGCATCATTGTTGTTCATAGTCCAGACAGCTGTGAGCGTAGTCGGGTCTTCGTTGACTTGTGATTTCGGAGGCGAGCAGATCAGAGTTGCTTCGATACTGCCATTAGGTGCTACCTGCGAGCCCTCCGGGATCGAGCCGAGGGGGTTTACTGCAGCTAGGGGGCCAGAGACGGGAGGTTTGGAGACGGATGTGGTCAGGTTTGTTCCCCCGAGGTTGCGAAGGCGGAGTTTGCGGAACGCTTGGGTACCGAGCGGCACGGGACCGAATGCGAACGGAACGCCCTTTTGGTAAGCTATCCAGGTTCCGTTTTCAAGTTGCCACTCCAGTAGTGCCTTGGGTTTCCCTCCAGCTGTTCCAAATGCACCCACGAATTTTGACCCGCCATTGGTGGTTATTACCAGGTATGCTTTATAGTACCCATCCACTTTGGGGTTGAAATTTACGGTGGTCGAGACGGCGCCGTCCCCTGGGATGCTCGAGTTCACAGCGGGTAAGTCCACAAAGGTGAACGGCCCAGCTTTCAGTGGAAACGGTTGGGCCGGGAGAAAGGGACCGGTTGAAGTATTGAGGGAGATTTTGTAATCCTGTATGACCAGTGGCGATTGGCCATCGTTCTCCATTGTAAAGTCTAGATTTTTTCCCGCCGTGTCTTCGCCCGTGATTACTTCCCCGAAGGATAGGACGTTCGGTTGTATCGTCAGGATGGGATTCAAAGATATGGCGACACCCCGGATGACAACGGGAGTGTTGGTCGAGAACTGCTCTGTGCCACCATTTATCGTTCGGATGTTGATATTTGTGCTCAACGGGCCAACGGTTTTTGGGGTGAAGTTTGCGCGGATGGAGAAGGTCTCGCCGGTTGCCAGGGTGTTTGGCAACGTGTAGCCAAATATTTTGAAGTTGGTGCCATCATCCAGGTTTGTGGCATTGATAGTTAGGGGGGTTTTTGCCCGACAGGTTATCGCTACAGTAGAGGTATTCCCGATAGGCACTGTTCCTGCGTCGTACGGCGAAGAGCAATTCAACGGCATGTTGACCGGTGAACCAAAGGCGGTTATGTACCCCGTGTGGGAAGTCAAGTAAACACGCCCGTCGCCGAAGCTGGGTCGAGAAAACTTCATTTGGCCGACATTATTGAGGAGAGCGAGGGTAGGCAACACCCCGTTGACCGGGACTGCGCCGTAAGCCCGGAGGTTAGCTCCGTCTACATCCGAGATCCAAAGAATTCCAGAGCCAGATTCGCCGTTCATCGAAGTCACCGTCGTATGCCCAACACCCTGCCTTCCAGCGGTGGTCTCGGTGGTTTTACCAGCCTGAGTAAACACTGGGTCGCCATTCGAGTTTATTCCAAACTTGAACACTACCGTCTGCTGCCCCACCGGCGAAAGATATACATACCCCCCGTCGTGCGGGTAAGTCCCCGCAGAAGCGAATACCGGGCCGCTTAGAGCGATCGTCTGGAGAATCTTGTCTTTCCGGTTTTCCCCCATTTGGTAGCCACCTAGGTCATCCAGGTTTAGGAAATATAGCTTTCCGGTTTTTCCAGCCACCGTGCCGATGCGTTGGACTCTGGCCGTACTGAAGACGCTCGGTTCTAGAAGGACAAAACTCGAGGTGCCGAGATCCTTGTCCATACCGTCTAGGTCGCGCTTCTCCCAGGGCATGAAGACTATCGTCTGTATTAGTCGCAGATAGTGGAGTCATAGGAAATCACTCAAGACTTACAATCTGTCGGCGTCACCCTTCCATCTTCCCCAATTGCCATGTTGACTACGGCTTCTTCGAGTGCCGTCGGTGGTTGCCTGCCGGGAACTGGATCGTCAGCCAATTGACTCGCATAGCCATTTCCGGTTGCAAAAAACATTCTCCCGGGATTATCGCTCGCGATTCCACCACCGCTCATCCAGATTCCACCGCCAATTCCGGTAGCCTCCTTTCCACCTTCCATGGTGTACTTCGTGACTATACGGCCCTCAGTGGCATGCCAGCCAACGACCCACCCAGTGAAGTTCCACTGCACACAGTGACTGGCGAAGCCGGCGTAGACGTAGTTATTGACCTGCAGCAGTGCGGGTCTCTGATGGTGTTTCCCACCTTCGAACATTCGCCACGGTGCGTTATCCGCCGTCATTCCTTCCAGTGGAATAGGGAAATTGGGCTTTTCTTCCAGAGTTAGTGCGTCCACCGCATGGATATAGTACCTCCCTGCGGCGAGCCCTTGCGGCGTATTCTTGGTCTGATCAGCGTATGTCTTCGTGGTGAAGAACCAGGTCCCCGTGTCCGGGTCTATTACTCCAGTCCCGGTTGAACCGACGCAGTCTGCTACGTCGTTGCAGCCAGCTAGATCGGGGGTCACAAGGAATGGAATGTGGATTGTGCGGTGTTTGATTATTTCCCCAGTTTTGGCGTCGAGAATGTAGGCAATGTTTTGCTGGGAGATCACATATACGTATTGGGTGTCGGCGGGGGTGTAGACAAGGGGTTGAGCATAGAATTCTGACAAACCTTATTAGTAGAAGAATTCGGTGTCATGGTAATATGTAGGAAGTCAAACGTTCTGTAAACCCATTATAGTTTCCCAACCCCTTCGTCTTCCAGATCTGATTAAAGGTGCCGGATTTGATGACGTTCGGATCCATATTGTGGTTCGGCTGGTAGCCGGTTCTCGAATTTGATCCTATCCACTTCATCAATTACCAATCCCCCCCCCGTTCTGGCCATTGTGAAGGAGGATATTAACGTACCACCACTAGTAATCGTATCAGTCGGGTTCTTGGACACCTTTTCCCCCACCGCCCCTGCGACCACCGCCAGCACTGCAGTGAAGATCCTCCGAAACCCACCCATTGTGCCTCACCGTAACCACTTTACCCTTCTTTCTCCCCACTCGAATTAGAAATTAATTAAAGTATTCCCAAGATGCAAATTTAGTCTCATACGAGAGAGGTGGAAGAACGAAGGAACAAACCCGCGAGCGAGTGAGCGAGCCAACGAAAGGCGGAGATAAATCAATCCTACTGAAGGGATGAAGGATAGAGCAAACCTTTTTTCCTTTGAAAAATGGGAAGAAGCATTGTTTATACGGATCTCCGCGTGGGTGTCCGCCGCTTGCCTCCTCCACGGATCCAGGACATTATCCAGATACTTGCCCAGCACTCGCACAGGACGGTATAACGCTGCAGCTAACCATTGCCAAAGGTTAATTTACCAAATATCCGCTAGGAGCAGAAACATGATAAGTCAGTAAGTAGGGTATGAGTTCTGGAAGGAACAAGCCGGTCCCCCCGGGTGCAACCCGGACACACTTCGCCGCAGTGCGACCCACCATGCCACTGACCACCAATTACCCCATTCACTGGAATCTTTCTTCCCAGGCACAAGAGGTGCTCGAGTACGGTACTTGGTATAGCATCTGCACTGCTGGAGCCTTCATTCGGAAGGTGGTTTAGGTGACGAGGGAAAAAGTGTAGCCAGCCCCATGGAGGATAGTGCCCTGTAGGGTGGCCATGTGCCTGAAACGGACGGGAAGCCCAGATCTGTGGCTGGGATTCACAAATTCTAGACCCGATTGGGAAGACAGCTGGGTGGTACAGACAGATAATCCTAGTACCGGTACTATGCAGAAATGTAGCAACACTCCCCCTGCAGAGCGTGTCTGGGAGGATATAATAATTGCCGAAGACGAGGCTAGATGGGGAAGCTCCCCCCCCCACTTTATCCCCCAAAATTAATTGCTTTATTTTTGCCCCGAGACTTGGGCAGATGTGTCACAGACAGAGAAACTTTAGTCCAAATGTATCGCGTTTTTTTGTTTTGCTGCTCCCTACAGATAAATCACACAAACCAGGCTACGGGGAAAATCCCGCCTTAACACCTGCGTTATACCCAGGCTGGGAGGATGGGAGAACTGTAAATGGCGAGGAGCTTTCGCCTGACTGATGTGCTATGGATAGCTGATTTTCTTAATGTCAGGACAACTTGGCGCCAAGCCCGATAGAAATTAGCGCCAAGGTGTCCCGTCACCATTGAAAGCGGCTAGTACCGGTAGCTTGATAATAAACGGTTGTTATGAGGCTGAATTAGGCGTGAGGTGGGTGGTCCAAGCGGATGTTTGTCACAGCCACGGGCGGGAACCGGGAAAAGCTTACTCGTATCATACCAGGTATCATTGACCACTTGATAGGGTGACGAGAAGATAGGGTGGCGAGAATCACTACTCGTACTTCCCTCGGATGAGTCAGTATTTTTAAGTTAAGCACCATTTCTCCTCTAAGAGAAGCACCGTATTGGTTCTCGCTATCCTATCGGTCTCGGCACACTATCAAACAATCAATTTGGAGATTCAATGACATTGGGTAGAGTTTTTTCCCATTCCCGCTCCTCCCCACCCTAGCGAATTATATTCTACTTGTGCAACCTTTCCGGTACTCGTGCTTCCTAGCCAAGATTTGGCACCTCATTTGTACTAGCGGGTGGCATAAGTCCTTTTCCGCAAAAGGAATACTTGTATGATACAGGTACAGTACCGGTATGGGGTCCAACCCCTCAGAAGAACACACAATATGCTTCTGTAGTCTAAATCTGTGGCAACTCGACCCACCAACGGTTCCCCAAACGGTTAACCTCAACACTCGTCACACACTTGGGCTGAACAGAACTTGTGCACCCACCAAGTTGCCGAATCGTGGCTTGGAAGCACGGGTATTGCACTTTCAAGTACTGTACCGGTACTGTACTGTACTAGTACATGGTCTCTAACTGGACCGATACCGAACTCGAGCACCCCGGGCACAGATTCAGGTGAGGCCAAGTTAACCTTCATTTCCACTGTCAATTGCGCTTCGATATCGTCGTACCGGTGCTTCAATCAATCAAATCACAACATCCACCGCCAACCGTTTCGAGAAGAAGAAAAAATAAGGTCCCTTACGCTCCCGAGCAAGGTTGACCATAAAACCCCAAATAAAACCCCAAATAAATCAGCGTCACGCCAAATTCTTCATGACACGCTACGGTATCCATCCACCCAATTCAGAAACAGCTACCGGAGCTCTGTTGTTTCCCGCTGTCAATGCCCTGCCCGAGCACACCACAGCCTAGTACGAGTATTCAAGCAGCACCTGTCCAACACCACTTCCCGAGACAGAGTGAATCCGCCCACCGCGTGTGTCGCACAGCACAACCGCATACAGTACTCAACCAGTGAAGTACAGTACTCGAGTACTTGTGCCGTACCGCGGAAAGATGTCTCTCAGAATGAGAAGCCCCTGAAAAGTACACCCCCCCCCCTTTTTCAGCTCATGTTGCGAACCCGTGAAAAAGAGTAAAAAATATATTTTTCTCTTCGATTGTGGGTTGTAAATGTTGGGACAATCAAGGATCTCGCTAGGACTTTGGAGTTTAGTCTCCTACTAGTACTTGTACTAGTATTGGTACGGAGCAGTGCTACACAGCACTAGTCCAGGTAAGGACTGTTGATGGTTCTCCATTGTTCCATTTTTGGCGCGAGGGTAAAGAAGAGCTGGTTATCGTATTACAAATTCCCTAAAGCTTGCGAAAGGGGGTCCAGAGCTCCCCGAATCTCTTTTTGGTCTCCAGAGCCTGATGCGCAATTGCGTTCACAGCGGGCCGTGCTGCAGGTTTCGCTCCGGGGAATCGTGCAAACCGGCATAGACTGTGAATTCTCGAGTTCAGTGGCTCGTCAAGTGTCAATTAATCAAAGAGCCCTGAAAAAAGGGGGGGAAGGGACCCCAAATCTTTTTTCCGGCGAGTTTTCTTCCGCAGAATTTTGAGAATCTACCCGGCACAATACGGTAGCGAAGGATTGTCAGCGTTATCAACTCGCACCCCAGCCAACAGCGGTATCGGTGACAGGTGACAGGTGTCTCGGATTCCCGGCTTGGCTAGTGCTACTTTTTGCCCAACGGATAAGTCTGAGACATAAAAAGTGCAAGTTACCGGCACTCATCCCCACCTTAATTGCACACCTTAAGAGTGAGACACCTACTTCACGTGTCTCATCAGTAAATGCCCCAGGAAAAGCGTTCTACAGGTATTCTTCCACACCATCTGAACCCTCGCTCGTACCACCAAAAGGCAGGAAGCAAACGCCAAAAGAAACCAACTTAAGCGAGCTTACTGGGAGACACAATTTCGAACCTCCACCCCGGCGGATATCACGCCGCAGGGCTGGCCGAGTGGGATGTGCCGATTGTTCCGCGTGGATACGGTGCCGTGCTGGACACAAGCGAAAGCCACCCAACTAGAACTCTGCATGTGCTGGGCAGGGTATTGATAACGCCGTGGGGTGTAATTTTGTTGGATATATGCCCATCGTGGGTTTGGCGGATGGAGAGAGGCTAGAAGTGCTAAGAGAAGGAGCGGGAGATGTTTCTTTTTTTACTCTGGTTTTTATAACACCCGGGTTCCCTCAGCTTAGGAGTAAAGCTCCTGATCCCGAGATTTTTAGTCGGCAATTGCACGGCAGACGCGATATCTTCACCCGCCTGAATTCCAGCAATTTTTTTTTTTTTTTTTATTTTTTTTTAATGCGCGGAAGCGGTATTTGTTTCTGCGCTTTCTACAATACAGCGGGTCTTTCGGCACAGAGACAGCACGCCGAAATTTAGAGGACTCTTTTCCAGCGCCTACGAGAAGATATCCGATACAGTATGGGCTGGTCCACACAAGCTGGGGATATCATACTGTACGTAGCATACGATAGGATAGATAAGTCAGGAACCCTCTACCGTAAACCCATTATTCCCACCGAATACCGCACTGTACCCCTAAAATTCCTGAACCAGCAATACAGTACGAGTACGGTACTGTACATCTCATGCCACAACCCCTCCCCCATCGTTCCGTCCCTGTACCACACGCACCACACGCAGCAACAACCTCTCCCTCTCCTTGCCTCCGCCCCGCTACTTTGCAACACACACGTACTGCCGAAGCTTACCTTTTCCGGTTCATGCCACTGCATCCTCCCTTTGGGAATCCGGGAGGAAACACATTACGGACACCTGCCCCAGCCATAAGCACCAGTACTGTACTGTACCCGAAAACAGGGATTGATGAAATTACAGCTTGGCAAAGATTCTGTGGGTATTCAAAGCCCGATGCGAAAATATACCCACCCCTGTTTTCTGGCACTTCTGATCTGGGGAGAGAATATTTGCGGGCGGGTATGATAGGCCCCACGTACGGGTAAGGCGATGCGCGGAGATTGGGAGGCGCAAACCTGGATCTCGGTATCATACAAGTTTTGGATTTTGGGGAGCGCGGCGCCCGTGGTGGGAGGCGGTGGGGGCATAGGGGTTCACGCGCTAAAATTGGGGGCGAGCGGGTGGCAGAGGTCCACTGCCCTTATTGCAGGATGGGGTGACGGGGGGATTGATCTTTGTGATTGGGTGATGGAGCTTTCGGGATTTGCGGTAGGGGGTTTGCAGACAGCTGCTGTGCTTCCTGGGTCGTGAACTATATTCATGATGTTTAAAGGTGCAAAGTAGCGTGATGATCCTCCGGAAGGTAATCTTAACTTCTATATCAAAAGCACTCACATACACCCAGTTTTTCGCTTGGGAACTGGGTGGCGCTTCCAACTGCAAACTCTATGCTAGCGCTGTAACGTGGGATA